AAAAAAAAAAAAAAAAAAAAAGTCCAAATACTTATAGGATATGTAATGGTTAACATTTAAGTTCAGATTACAATCAGAGTTTCTAGGCAATATTGCGTAAAATGTAGTTTGAAAAAAAAGTAAGAACTTTTAGTAGAGGAGACTCAAAGGAGGTCATATGGATTATGTTGATTCTAATTTATAAATATATTAATTAGCTGTAATCATCCATTAATGGTTTTATTTTCTTCTTATTATGAATTTTTTACCTTTATATATTGAATCTTTCTCCTATGTAAGAAGGCTTCTATGTATCTTATGATTCCAGTATTGGAATACAAATACTTTCTTAGTTTAATATTATTTTGGTTCTTGTACTTTTCGTTTTCATTCATTTTCGTTTTCATTTTAAAAAGTTTATAAGGACCAAAATGAACATGGATCAAATTTGGTTGTAAATTAAGACCAAATTGAACATTTTGAGAGTACATAAACATTTTGAAATAGAAAACCATATTTTATCCGGTAACATTGGAGCTTCAAGAAAATAAATAAAAGAATTTTTTTGAATTAAAAAAAAAAAAAAAAAAGAGAAGGAAAGCAAAATGGCAAGCACACTTGGAGAAGATGACCATACAATCACGGTTAGTTTCTCGACAATACAGTCAACAATTAGTTTCTCGACCTACATCCCTCTTTTTAACCAATTTGAAAATTTATGTAGTCCGTTCTTCGAGCCATTTTTACCAATTTTATTCTTTTAATTTAATTTAGGACACGTTGAGGAATTTTGGAGAATTTGAAAATTTTTAAAGATTTGAACCAAGCTCGGGAAGTTGACAAACACGTAAGTAACCACACTGAGCAAGTTTTAAGAAATACTTGTAGGAGCCAAATAAGACCATGGGCAAATAATTAAAAATCATGTTTTAGAAACTAGTTAAGTAAGGTTCATGATAGCTAAGCCTAGAAAACTTAATAGTTTACGGTGTAGCATGATACTTAGTTTTACAACTTCCCTGTGCATAATTGTGAACTTCGATAGAGTTAATATTTTTATAATTTTTCCAACATACCTCAATTGATTTACCTTCAATTGTAAACTCTAATAATGGTGAACTTTGATAGAGTTAATACGTTGAGCATGTTGTATGTTTATATATGTTTATACATGTTATGAGTATGTTAGACCGTGTACCTCTATTTTACGTTATGGTCCTTAAAGCTGGTTTTGGATTTCACAAAACATTGGGTTGACTAGGTATCTCGTAGGGGCGATTAAGGCACAACCCCTATTTGTGAAGAGCCAATAGGGGTTAGGGTCTACTTGATACACAGAGTTCCGTTGTCGCCCATAAAGAATTCCAAGAGTCATAGAAGGTATACTATTGAGGTAGATACAGTTTGCCTAGTGGGGAGCCATGACCTTATATGTTCTAACTCGAGAGGGTGTGTGAACGGGTAGATTACGGTTTCCGCTTGCTTGAAAAGGTGATGCAACAAATAGATTAGTGTTTCTGCCTAAAAAAAACAATGCAACAGGTTGTTTACTATTTCCACCAGAAAAGCTGAAACATCAGGTAGTTTACTGTTTCTACTTGAAAAGGCGATAGTAGTTTACTATTCTAACCCGAGGAGGGTGTACGAATAGGCAGCTTAATGTTCTTAGGAACAGACAGTTATTAGCGAGTGTCACAATTGCACTCTATGGCATGGGACAACAATTGTACAACACTTGTTCTAACCCACCAAACAAGTTAGCAGTGTGAACAATCTTGACGTATGATTGAGCCTCAAGGCATGTTTGACAGAAAATGTTATATAAAATGTGAGCGAGGATAAGCGTTAAAAACAATTTGAAAGAAAGCAATGTTATAGGTTAGAAGCGAATAAGTAACAACCACAACTTTGATAGCATATAACCCAAGTAAGAAAAATTGACAACTAATCACATGTCCCTATAGTACATTTTGATGCATTTCAACCCTGGTGAGTGTAGATATGATTTTAGTGAACAATCATACACCCTAGTACTGACATCAAAGGTATAGTAAGTACCTAACTACACATGAAAGCAAGTAAAAGGGGTTTGGAATGGGCATATAACCATGGACAACACGCCATGAACAAGCATGACTAGGAGGTTTTTGCATCGCAGTATTCCTATAGCAACCGCGAGGTTTTTGTTGGGTTAGCTTACTCAAACTCCCCTCTTCAACCACAGTAATTGCAGTGAGTGTCGGTTCATCATGGGTAAGATCCCTACTAACTATAGTGCTGACATCATCTTCACCCCTTTTGGTTGACGAGAGTTAGTTTAAATGATTGTCGGGTTGGATCTCGTTACTATTAAGCATTTCTCTAAGGACATGGGAATGACTTTGTGTTCAAGTAGGAAATCCATCCCTAACATGATGTCAAAATCGTCCACCTTGACAATCACAAAATCAGTTTGTCTAGTCCAAGTCTCCAATTTGATTGGAGTTCTCTTTGCAACTCTTGAGACAAGTAGAGCTGCCGAATTGACGGCTTTCATTTGTCCTGTGTCTCGATGCCGAAGGATATTCAAGCATTTCACTTCAGTCTTCGTCATGAAGTTGTGGGTGGCTCCAAAGTCGATAATAGTGTTCTTAGCCACTCTGTGGTTAACCCAGGCCTCAACATACATAAGACTACGTTCCACTAGTTCTTCTATCTCTCCCACAACTTCCACCATCTCATGCTCAGTTTCCGAACTTATTTCAAGTTTTGCTTGGAAGGCATAAAGTGTAGGCTTTTGTGGGCACTCAATTTATCAGTGGGCCCCCTTGCATATGAAGCAAGACAAGGGGCCTCGACTGTGATTGCTCTGGCTATGAGGTCTCTTCCATTAAGATACCTCCCAGGTAGGAGGACTTGCATTACCCCCCCCCCCCCCCCCCCCCCCCCCCCCCCCCCCCCCCCCCCCCCCCCCCCCCCCCCCCCCCCCCCCCCCCCCCCCCCCCCCCCCCCCCCCCCCCCCCCCCCCCCCCCCCCCCCCCCCCCCCCCC